GGACGGGGGGGCGCAGAGGGTGCAGGAGACGCCGCCCGGTCCCCGAGTCCGAGGCGGACCGCGCGGCCGGCCACGGCAGCGCTCGTGGGCGGGCGCGCACTCCACTGGACGAGGGGGGGGCTGATGGGCAGGAGGATGTGTAGGATGACGAGGAAGGAGCATCGGGAGCGGCCAGGAAGGGGGTGTCCAAGAGGGGGGGTGCAAATCATGACCGGCGGCACGTGCGCGGCCCAGCGGGGGGACCAGGGACGTAATGAAATGTGAAGAGGCGCCAGGACATCTGAGGAAATATCATGGCCCCGCCATGATATCCACCCCCCCCTAGTCATCACCCCCATCTTTGCCGCCCCCGAGAGCAGCAGTCGGGCGTGTCTCCCTACAGGGGGAGCTTCGACGAAAAATAACACTTTTTTGACTATTTTTGCACATTCCCCCTGTAGAGGGACGGGCCCGACCTAAGTGTGGAAAGACGAGGAAGGAGCAGCAGCAGCAGCAGCAGGAGCAGGGGGAAGCGGGCCGGGGCATGGCGGAGGAGGGAATCGAACGGGGGACGGCGACGACGAGGAGCGAAGCGGATCCAGAAGTGTGACTGGGGCGAGAGTGCAAATCTGAGCGGCGTGAGCAGCGTGCCCATCTTGAAATGCGGCCAACTCTGTATCTAAAGCATGCAGTCGGGGCGTTGACCTAAGGAGCGATAAATAAAGAACGAAGCCCCTTTATCCCAAGGAATAACGCATAAAGAACGATCAACAACAAATAACGCACAAGGAACTGTAAATAACGCGTGTAAAATCGAAGGAACGACCGAGCCCCTTTTGAAAAATAAGTGTTCCTTACTCAAGCCGCTCACTGTGCTGGGCATGGCCGAAAACTGCCCGAATGAAGCAACCACGCAAAACAGTACATGCTTGATATCAAGTGCCAGCGTGTATGATAACAATATGCGGGAGACCAGGTGCTCCCTCACCGCAAGACAGTACCAGGGGAGAGAGGGTCAGTATAACTCATTCTATGTAACTGCGGATGGGGGGGAAGAGGAAGAGGAGGAGGTTCAGGAGCATGCAAATAGTGGGGGAGAGGGGGAGAGAGAGAGAGAGCGAGAGAGAGAGAGATAGATAACAAACAAAACACAAGACACAACAAAAACATAGAGATAATAAGAGAAAGAGAGAGAGAGAGGAGGGGGGAACAAAGAGGGGGGGACGTCGAGAGGGGAGGTTTTAGAAGGAGAGGGACAGGTGTGGAGGGTAAGCTAGGCGCGCACAGTCCACGTCTTGCATTCAACCCTTCCTATACATACGTTTCCACTGCGCTGAATTATTTCGTACCCGTTGGCTGGGGTGTCCTGAAGGACCTTGATACCCAGAGTGGCCATATCGTGCGATGCGCAAGCAGAAGCATCACATACCTATACGACCACCCTTCGGGTGATAAGGAGGTTGTGGGAGGGGGGGGAAAGGGGGTGGAACCAACATCTGACTCAATCGATCTCACGAACGATCTCACTCAACGGGACACCATGGGACACCACGGGAGACTTGTCGAACTCACTATCGACCTCACCTTCGATCTCGCACAACGGCACACCACGGGACACCACGGGCCACTACGGGACACCACGGGACACCGCGGGACACCTCTCGATCTCAGTATCGGTCTCACTATCGATCTCACCCAACGGGACACAATACGACACCACGGGACACCTCGGGACACCACATCGATCTCACTATCGATCTCACTCAACGGGACACCACGGGACACCATGGGACACCTGTCGATCTCATTATCGATTTCACTACCGATCTCACTTTCTGGGACACCACGGGACACGTCGGGGCACCATATCGATCTCACTATCGATCTCGCTCAACGGAACACCACGGGACACCGCGGGACACCGCGAGCCACCGCCGGAAGGGCGGGAGGGGGAAAATCATTCGTCTTGACTTCGCCCTAGCAACGGCGGACACCACGGGACATCACGGGACACCACGAGACACCACAGGACACCGCCGGACGGGCGGGCGGAAGAGAAACATTTGTCTTGACTTCGCCCTAGCAGCGGCGGACACCACGGGACACCACAGGACACCTGGGGACACCGTGAGCCACCGCCGGACGGGCGGACGGAGGATAATCATTTGTCTTGACCTCGCCCTAGCAACGGCGGGTTCATTCCTCTCGCGCGCCCACGCAGCTTCGCCTCGCCGGCACGTGCGACACGAACGAAACAAAAAGATGTCCCGGTTGGGGGTCTCCGTCCCGCTGCGATCTCACCCCCCAACCTCTGATGTTTGTATGTTAAGACGGGGAAGGGGAAGAGGGGGAGGAGGAGGAGGAGGAGAAGGAGGAGGAGAAAGAGGAGCATGAGTATGAGGATGACGATGCGGAGGAGGAAGAGGATGAGGGGGAGGAGGAGGAGGAGGAGGAGGAGGAGGAGGAGGAGGAGGAGGAGGAGAGGAGGAGGAGGACGAGGAGGCGGAGGAGGAGGACGAGGAGGAGGAGGAGAGGAGGAGGAGGAGGAGGAGGAGGAGGAGGAGGAGGAAGAGGAGGAGGGGGAGGAGGAAAGATATCAGGCGCGTTGGGGCGCCGCTCGTCTGGCGAGCAGCGCCCCGCAAACCCTCAGAAGGCGATGAACAGGCCGAACGACGCCTCGCCGTTCCGCCGCGAGCGCCGCGGCCTCGGGTGGGCCGCGCCGCGCCGCCGCCGCGCCTCGGCCGCTGGTGGGCCGCGCCGCAGCTGCGGGTGCCTCCGCCTAACCCTCCTCGCCGCTGAGCGGGGGCGAGGGGCTCGGCGGTGGCGGTGAGGAGCACCGCGGGACGGGCCCAGCCTCCTCGTCCTCGCTGCTGGGCCCAGCGGCGCCTACGGGCGGCAGCGCTGCCGCGCCAGCAGCGCCAGGCTGGCCAGCGGCCGCCTCCCCCGCGGGGTGGCCGTCGCGCTGGCTGCTGGGCCCCGCGCCTGCGGCGGCCGCCCCCGCGCCCTGCGCCTGTGCCCTTCTGCGCTCGCCAGGCGCTGGGCCAATCCTTGGCGCGCCAGGAGGACGCCCTGGGTCGGCCAGCCGCTGGCGTGGGGCCACCCGCCTCGTATCTCCGCATGGAGTCGGCCATCCACGCCTGGGAGGACGACGGGCCGCTGCGGCATCGCCTGAACGCCCTGCTGTTGGTCCCGTCACATCTCGCGGGCCAGCTGCGCCGCGGTGCGCCCCATGACGCGCGCGAGCGCACGCCGCCGCGGCTGGCCCGGCACGGCCTCGACGCACGGCACGCAATGCTGCCCCCAGTCGTCCGCCAGCCGCCCCTCGGCGAGGGTGGCCTCCATTCACCAGCGCGCCCATCTCGCGAGCCTCCTCTCCGTGGCGGTTGGCCTGGGCGGCTCGCGCGGCAGCGGCTCCCTGGGCTGCCGCTTGGCCACCGCCACCTTGGGCCTGCGGCTGCAGATGGCGGGGCGCGCCGCGGGCCGAGGCTTCGGCCTGCCCTGCCGCGGGGGCACCACGCAGCGCACTGCGCTGGCGGCCGTGCCGCGGCTAGCCCCGCGCTCCTCCGCAGCAGCGCGAGGCGCGCCTGCCGCGGGAGGCCGCGAGACCGCTCAGCTGCCGCGCGCGCGCTACTGCCGCTGCCAGCATCCTGCTGGCCTCGCACGCGTGCGCTGATGCCGACTGCTGAAACGGAGTCGGTGGCGGCGGGTGCCCAGCGCTGGGCCGCGCCTGCAGCGCACCCTCGCCTCCGCGTCGCGCGGCGTTGTCTTCCGCCCCAGCGATGCCGCCCAGCGCCTGCGGCCCGCTGAGTCAGCGGGACGGCGAAGGCCTTGGCGAGAGCCGCCCTGGGATCAGCGGTTCGCACGGCGAAGCTAGGCCGATCTCCCGAACGGAGCGTCCCGCAACCCCCACCGTCCGTCCCTGCGCCGCGCTGCCGCTGCCGTACGCCACGCTGGCCGCGCGCCCAGCTGCCGCCGCCAGCGCCCTGCCAGCCGCGCACCTTGGCACTGGTGCCGACGGCCGAGGCGGCGGTGGGAGCGGGAACCAAGCGCTAGGCCGCGCCAGCGGTTCACCCTCGCCTCCGCGTCGCGCAGCACCGCCATCAGCTCGCGCGAAGCCGTCCATCTCCTTCTGCTCGCTGATGCCACGCCCGCAGCCCAGTCCAGGGAAATGCACGTCCCTGGCCACCTGGGGGCCCCGTCCAGAGGAACGCACGTCTCTGGCCACCTGGGTCAGCTGTGTAGACTGAGAGCTGGCCATGCCCGTAGTCCGAGCCTGGCGTCGCACCCTGGAGCGGTCGCGTGGCTGCCCCTGGCTCGGGGGCGGGGTTGTAGGGTGCTCCAAGAGCTGCTCCCTGCCCCGCCCAGACCAAGACGCCGCCCCTCCAGTCGACTGCGGACGCCCCCGCGCTGCCCCACCAACAACGGCGCTCTCTCCCAGCCTCGAGCCGACGGCGGCCCAGGGGCCAGCGGCACGCGGAGGGCCCACGGGCACCGCAGGAGACAAGCCAACCACTGCACCAGCTACGGTAGTACCAGCCTCAGCAAAACCCTCTCGCTGTTTACCGCACGGGTGCACCAGGGGGCAGGTGCTGACAAAACGATCGGCGACTAAGCCCAGCCCCTCGCGCTGTTTACCCCTTGGGTGCACCTGGGGGCTGGGACTTGCGTTCTAACCCTGCAACCTCCTGCTCCGTGACGGCATGGAGCCTTGGCGAAAGCAGTTTTGGGATCAACGGTTCGCACGGGGGTTAGGCAGATCTCCCGCGCGGTTCGACCCGCAGCACCCACGCCTCCACGTACCGCAGCAGCGTCCACAGCCCCCGTCACGCCGACCATCCCCTGCGGCTCGCCGGCGCCACGCCCGCGGTTGCCATGCGTGGGCCGCGCACCCAGTCCAGGGGAATGCACGCTCCTGACCACCTGGGGACTCAGTCCAGAGGAACGCACATCTCTGGCCACCTGAGTCAATACCTGTGCAGACTGGTAGCTGACCGTCTCCGTCGTCCGAGTCTGGCGCCTCACCCTGGAGCGGTCGCGTGGCTGCCCCTGGATCGGGGGCGGGGGCATACGGTGCTCAAAGGGCTGCTCCCCACCCGACCCAGACCAACACGCCGCCCCTTCAGTCAACTGCGGACCCGCCCACGTTGCCCCTCCGGCAACGGCGCGTTCTCCCAGCCTCGCGCCGACGGCGGCCCGAGGGCCCGTGGCACTCAGAGGGCTCAGATCTAAAGCATCCTCCTGCAGTGGGTAGCCCCAATCCTCGGATACGCAGCGAGCTTCAAAGTCACGAAAGGCAACATCAGCGTAAAGCGAGAATTGAAAGGGGGCCTCGGGGTCACCCTGCAACAGTGAACGCGTCCGAGTCACGGCCCGAGATGCAGGAAGCCCAGCGAGCCCAGGGAGCCCAGGGAGCCAAGGGACGAGGACGAGGACGAGGACGAGGACGAGGACGAGGACGAGGACGAGGACGAGGACGACGACGACGACGACGACGACGACGACGACGACGACGACGACGACGACGACGACTGGCGGCAGCTGCTCGGACGGGGCGGGCGCAGTGGGGCGCCTGTGGCGTGGGAAAGCGTGGAGGAAGAGGAGGGGAGGTGGAGGGGGAAGCGACCTGGGACACACGGCCATCAGCTTCTGCTCAGCGGTCGCGGCGGCGGCCCTTGCGACACGCGGTGCCTTGCAAGCTGTTAGCGTGTCGCTCTGCCTCACGTGACCGCGGGCTGGGGGCAGGGCGAAACTTTAAGCTAGGGAACTTGGACGCGGCTAGAGTATCGCGCCGAAGCGTGGTTGGCCAGAATCGGCTGCGCGACATGCTAAGCAAACGATTCGGACCGAAACCCCGACATCCCGCTCATGGGCAAACGCTTCCTGTGTACATTGCATGACGTCCGAACGGCACGCACGAGCCTGAGCTCAACACGTGCGTCCCCAGCCCACCCACCCATGGTCGCGGGCGGAAAGTACCGTCCTTCTCCTCCAGCAGCTGGAAGTACTGCTGCAGGTCGACGTCGAACGCTTCGCAACACGCAGCCAGTAAGTTCACTGTGGGTGTCCTCCCTCCCTCGCCACCTCCTGCACAACCCTCCAAGCTATGTTTGCCAGCGCGAACCCCAAACAATGAATGATTGTGTTCGACGTGTCGGCCACGTGTGGTGTGTCAGGGACAGGGCGGCAACGGGCGGCAACGCAACGATTCTCCTCCTCCTCCTTCTTCCTATTCGTCTTATGATTATTATTCGCCTGATTATTACTACTACTCTTATTATTACGATCACCATTATTACTAATCCTCGGCATACCCCCGCAGGCGGCAACGAGCGGCAACAGACGGCTACGTGGCGACTCCTCAGCATACCCCGACAGGCGGCAACGGGCGGCAACGTGGCGCATCCCCGGCAAGCCCGCACGGGAGGCAGCGCGCAACAGCGTGGCGCATCCTCGGCATACCCCCCCCACAAGCGACGACGGGCGGCCACGCGGCGACTCCCCGGCGTACCCCCACCACCGGCAGCGGGCGGCAGCGCGGCGAACCCTCGGCATATCCACACAGCGCGCGAGGTGGCCAACGGCGCGGCGACGAGGCAGCACCGGGCGGCAATGCGGCGAATCCTCGGCATATACCCACGCAACGCGCGAGGCGACAACGGCGCGGCAACGAGGCGGCGACGGGCGGCAACGAAGCGGCAACGGGCGGCAAACGGCCGACGCATCGGCATACCTTTGGAAGCGACACCGGGCGGACACGCGGCGTACCCCCGGCATGCCCACGCAGGCGGCAGCGGGCGGCAACGGGCGGCAACGTGGGAGGAGGAGGAGGAAGAGGAGGAGGAAGTGGGGGAGGAGGAGGAGGAGGAGGAGGAGGAGGAGGAGGAGGAGGAGGAGGAGGAGGAGGGAGGAGGAGGAGCAGGAGCAGGAGGAAGAGGAGGAGGAGGAGGAGGAGGAGGAGGAGGAGGAGGAGGAGGGTGGCACCGGGCGGCAACGTGGCGAATCATCGGCATGCCCACAGAGGCGGCAACGGGCGGCAACGTGGCGAATCCTCGGTATATCCCCCTACGAGCACCAGCGGGCGGCAGCGTGCCGGCTCCTCGGCATACCCACGCGGACACGCGGCGTATCCTCGGCATGCCCACGCAAGCGGCAACGGGCGGCAACGTAGTGAACGATCGGCATACCCACGCAAGCGGCAACAGGCGGCAACATGGGGAATTCTCGGCATGCCCCCCACATTCGGCAACGTGGCGAATCATCGGTAGTCCCCCTACGAGCACCAGCGGGCGGCAGCGTGCCGGCTCCTCGGCATACCCACGCAGGCGGCAACGGGTGGCAACGGGCGGCGACGTGGCGAATCCTCAGCATACCGGGCAGCTTTTAATACATCGGATTTTTAGACATGTAGGATTTTTTAATACGTGATTGATGTAGGAGTAAACTTCTGCATGAACTCATCGTTGCTTTCAATACTAAATCCCTGCATTTACGGCACTGTACCCACGCAGCGCACGAGGCGGCGACGGGCGGCGGCGAGCGGCAGCGTGGCGAGCCTTCTGCAGACCCTCCCAGAGCCCTCAGAGAAACACAAAAAGGCAGAGCCCCAAAGTGCAAACCGTATGGAGGAAGTAGCTTTCAACACAGCAGGGGTGCGTGAGCGCATCTGTACACCAGGGCAACGCGGCACGCTGCTCCTGTCATTCGTGCGTTCCGCTGTGAAGCTCGGCGCACCGCAACTCCGAACCGTAGCTATTGGGCAGATGGAGGGCAAACGTAATGCGGGGCGAATCCAACTGAACACATTGCGCTGGCAAGGGAGAACACATGCCGAACCACCGTCCAAAGACCGCAGTCGTAAAGAGATCATCAAGACGACAAAGGCGACTGATAGCAGACGGGCGCACGTTGTAGCAGACGGAAGCACAAACGCAAAACAAAACGCATACACGAGACTAACGTGAGCCCCAGGCGCGAGGGAAATCACAGGGTCGATATACGCCAGGTGAAGCGAGTTATGATCAAGAAGTTACAACGCGTAGTGGAAGCTCGCCTGAACAGCACTGTCCAGCAGAATGACTAAAGGACCGACGTGTGCTTTCTACTCTCTTCCTACTCCTACCTTGCCATTCCTCTTCCAGATCCTCACTCACCCGTTGGAGAAAAGACATGAGCTGTGCTCGATGCCGATATCATCGAGGGTGGCACTGACGTGGATGGTGCTATCCACGTTCAGTAGGATGAGAAAAGGACGACGACGACGACGAGGATCATGGCAAGGAGGTGCGTGCTACCGAATGCCCTTTTTCTGTGCATCATCGGGTATATCATCTACCTGCCTCATACCTCTTTCTGCATCTGCATACCTGTAAGACCAGACGAAGGCCGATAAGGTAGTTGGGGGTGGTGGAATCAACGACGGGCCAACCATCGGGACAACAGTCTCTAAGTATCCATCGAACAGCCTCCATGGGCTTTACTGTCTATCAGTATCACTATCTATCAATCGATCTCAGGTCAACCTGCTTGTCGATAGATCAATGTATATCTCTACCAATCCCACTGTCGACCTCAATATTAACCTATCGATGCCACTATCTATCGATATCACTGTTGATCGATCAATATCACTGTCTATCGACCTCACTATCAGTCGATCGATCTCATCATATTTCGATATCACGATCAACTTCAATGTCAATCTCACAGTCGATCTCAGGGTCGATGTATCGATCTGACATTCTGTATGTCGATATCACTGTCTGCCCATCGGGACCACACCGGGACAACCAGCACATGTTTGTATTGAATTGTGGCTTTGGCCACAATCTCGAGACGCTGGAAGCGGCAAGCCCCTTTTTGTTGGCCGACACCCGTCAAGACAACCATCGGGACAACCATGGGGCAGTGCATCGGGACAACCATCGGGAAATCCATCGGGACAACCATCGGGACAACCATCGAGACAACCATAAGACAACCACCGGGACACATATCGGAAAACCCATCGGGACAACCACGGGACAACCACCGGGACAACCGCGGGGGACAACCGCGGACAACCCTCGGGACAACCATCGGGACAACCATCGGGACAACCGCCGGACAACCGCGGGACAATCATCGGGACAACTACGCCACGTCCGCGGGACAACCGCAAGGCACCATCCGCCAACTGTGGAGAGCGGGGGGGAAAACATTTACTGCGACTTCGCCCTAGCAGCGGCAGGATCATCACTCCTCTCGACCGCGCACGCAGCTTTGCCTCGACGGCGCGCACGGCACGAGCACGAGACCGAACATAATTCTCCAGTCGGTGATCTGATTTTCACTTCGATCTCACCCCCAACCTCCGATGTATGAATGCGCAAATATATAAAACATATGCAACTCCGGTGTGTAAACATAGATGTATGTATCTGTATGTGTACGTATGTTGGCATGTATACACACGTGTGTCTTTAGGCTACATAAACGCATATTGAAAGCTACCTTGACCAGCGTCACCCAGGGGAGTGACTACCAAACCCTAGAAGTAGATTAGGTTTGCGCCCGCCCCACAAAACAACCAAAAATATAGATTCTTGAAATAGGAAGGCGCTTAAAGTAGATTGGGATCTGGGAATCCAAAAATACCTACTTTCAACGACCGGTGGCTATGCATCTATCCGTTCACCTCGCCCGTCTGCGTGCGGTGCTTACTCCTGGCATGTGTGCGAAGTGTTTGCCCCGATGTCCCATCGCATATGGAAAGCTACATAAACGCATACGGGCATGCATAAACGTGTGTCTGTACGGCTACATAAACGCATAAGCGCATACACGTGTGTCTTCACGCTACACAAACGCATATGGAAAGCTATGCATCTATCCGTTCACCTCGCCCGTCTGTGTGCGGTGCTTCCGTACATAGACATTATATTCGAACCCTGTGGCCCAAGATGCCCCCCCGAACCCCCGAATCTAATATTGATAGCGTGGCGACGGGGGAGGCGTGAGTGGACAGAAATATTCGAACCCCAAAGCGCCGCCTTTGCTGAGATCAACGTTGATGTAGGGGGCGCGGGGGTGATTTAGAATCTCCCTCGAATGTGTGAGGGTTCGAATATATTGACCATCTACTGTTACTCCTTCCAGGTGTGCGAAGTGTTTGCCCCGATGTCCCATCGCAGCCCCAGGCGCATGCAGTGGGCCATGGGGCGAGGGCCGGCGCCCCTCCTGCGCGCCACCAGGGCGCTGCCCTAAGGAACGACACATCAGGAACGAGGCCCCTCTTTCCCATCGGTTAAACCCCGATTTTCCATGGAAGACCTGGGGGAAACCCAAGGAGCGCTGCAAAACAGCTAAGGAGCACGGAGCCCCCCCCCAAACGAAAAGGGTTCCTTCTTCAGGGCCCCGACGGTACCAGGGCGCTGCTAGAGCGCCCACTGCAGTGGGCACGTACGATAAAAGAAATCATCTCGGAGGAAGCCTATGGGCACCTTCGTCGTCGCGCCTTGAGCTTCCTGAGGTTAGGAGTCCTGGGTCCGATTGCGCAAACGTGCCAATACACTCTGCTGAATGGCGGTTCAGCGACTTCTGCATTCTGGCACATAAGTTTGCGATCTGTCGCTCACCTGGCCAAAACTCCTCTTCCATTTTTTAAGACGCAATAGCGATTCTGCTGTACATTCCGTCGAATGTGAAGCATAGCTCCTCCTATGGCCCCCCAGGGCCATCTAGATGACAAGAAGCTTCCGTGGGGCAGGCCGGATTCTTCTCTGACGTGCCTGCTGCACGTGAGCACCTAGCCCGGCGGCGTTGAAACACGCGGGACCCGCCCGGGCGCCGCTACCTGCGGGGCTTGAGCGGCGGAAGCTCGGGGCTCCAGCACCTGCGCGGCCTCGTCTCCTCCGCGCGCGACCGCCCTCGCGTGGGCTGACGTCTGGGCCTCAGCTCCCTGCAAAGAAAGACCGCGAGCGCGACGCAGAACTCAAGCATCCGTGCTCTGAGCAGCGTCGCCAGCCTGCCACCACCAGAGCGGCCTTCACTGCCCCTCTCCCAGCGGGTGGCGCACCCAAGCCACCTA